TCCTCGGGAACGAGGCGGGAGGAACCCTGCAGGACGTGCACACGCTCACATGCACCTGCGCTCACTTTCGAAAGCCTGGCCACCCTCCAGGTCAGAGCGGGCCCAGGTGTGGGTGCCAGAGACCGTGCAGCTCTGTGTAGGCCCAGGCGAGGGTGCCCGGCAGGTGTGGCTGCAACAGTCACGTGACCCCGCCCGGCTTCTCTACAGCAAGGTTCTGGCTCATTCTTCCCATTACAGAATGGACCGAGTTCCCACTTAACAGACAAAACTAAAGCCAATGGCCGAGACCGGTTTGGCTCAGTGGATAGAGCGTCGGCCTACGGACTGAAGGGTCCCAGGTTCGATTCCGGTCAAGGGCATGTACCTTGGTTGCGGGCACATCCCCAGTGGGAGATGTGCAGGAGGCAGCTGATCGATGTTTCTCTCTCATCGATGTTTCTAACTCTCTATCTCTCTCCCTTCCTCTCTGTGAAAAATCAATAAAATATATTTAAAAAAAAAAAAAAAAAACTAAAGCCAATGGCAGCGAATCCACCCGGAACCGCAGGCATCCCATCCCGCAGACCCCGTCCCGCTGCGCTGGCCCCAGGCGCCCCGTGGGCTGACTGGCGGGGACACGTCCAGGAACGACACCCACGGCGAGTTTCCACTCTGCGTCTGTGGGGCATCCGCAGCCTGTGTGCCCCCAGGACCACGGCCTCCTGTCCCAGGCCACGCCTGGGAGGAGGCGCCCGCATGGCCAGGAAACACCTTCCTGCTCCAGAGAAAACACCGGACGAGAGAAAACACCGGACGAGGCCTGAGCCTGGAAGCTCGCCGACCGCCGACCGCCTCCACGAGAACCCGCCGCGGTCCAGGCAGTCACCACAGCGCAGGCGCACGCGAGGCCGACAGCAGCAGCCCAGCACCACGGGGAACGCGCCGCCCGTCCCGCCTCGGCCACACCCACCTGCAGCAGGTAGACCCGGATCATGTAGACGAAGCTCAGGCCCAGCGTCACCACCCATCGCACGGCCGTGTACGGTGTGGACTTGTCCAGCCAGGACTGGTAGATCTGCAAGGACAGGAGTGCGTGCGCGTCAGGCACCGGCACGCCGCCCGCACGTGCATCTCCCCACCGCGGGCCTCCGGCCGAGCATCCCCGGGCGGCGCAGCGATGACGCTAACCCCAAATTTATGGCAACCATTCGAGGCAGGTCCAGTCCTCGGGCAAACACAACACAGAACGAGTTCTCACCGCAGGCGTCCTCAGCACCAGGAGAGGCCTGCCCGAGGCAGGAAAGTACGCACCTCGGAGTCGCCACCTGCACGCAGGACCCAGCCCACGGCCGCGAGGAGCCGGCCCAACCGGCAGCGTGGAGCGGGCACAGGTGGCACCACTGCAGCCGTGGAGTTTGCAGAGGAACTCGAATTTATATGTACACACGCATGTATGTGTCTGCACGTGTGTAATTAGTATGTATACTTGCAACTCTACTTTTGAAATTGCTTAATCTTAACATTTAAAGTTGTAATTGTGGAAATCTTCACCCGGTCATAAAGCACAGAATGCGCGGGCCCAGACACCCCTCCCCCGCGCCCACTGTCAGTTGTTCAAATCCCTCTTCATGTTGAAACTGACAGCACAACACGCGTGGCGCTGGGGCATCGTGGAGCGCTGCTGGCCGCACAGGCTCCATCCCGGCCCACGCTGGGTCCAGCACCGTGCGCACCCCGGGCGAGGGGCCACGGGTGCAGACGCAGGTGGCCGGGAAGGGCGGCAGATCAGAGTCCAGGCGCCGCTACGTCTGTACTGCTTGGTTTTCTCATTATTAAAGGTTGGAAGACAACCCAGAAACCAAGTGTGGGGCAAAGACCAGGGGTCGTCCATCACTGGCCCCTCTGAGAAGACACGGCCCCTGACAGAGGGAGCCGGTCCTGAGAGCGAGCTCAAGGCTCCTGTGCACCCCCGCCCCGCGGGCACCCCCGCCCCTGCAGGCACCCCCGCCCCGCGGGCACCCCCGCCCCGCGGACACCCCTGCCCTGCGGACACTGCCCAGCACAGCTCTCGTGCACACATGCGCACAGGCACCCGACACCCACCTGGCCGAGGCGTGTGAAGAACCTGTACACCACAGAAGGCTTCCCGTGGACGGAGTCTCCCACGCTGTCCCCTTCGGACATCCTGTAACTGAGAAGGCGCAGGCGCGGTCAGACCAGGAAGCAGGCAGGTCTGGGCCCTTGCGCCACCTCCAGGGAGCGGCTCGGTGCCAGCTTCCCCGCAGCACCGCCGTCTCTGGGCGCCCCCCCGTGAGCGGCCCTGGACAAGAACAGCAGGTGACACGGCTGGTGGCGGGCCAGGAAGGCACGTGACATGCAAAGCAGCCCGGGGTGGACTTTCATTTCTGCCACCGCCACCCGGAGCCGCCTCTCCTGGGGCCCAGGAGCCGCCCCGCCGCCCCTGCAGTCCTGTGGCCACAGCTGCGTGTCCACCCCTCTGGGCCGGTCCACAGGCTGGGCCACCGCACCCACGCCTGCCCCTCCTCAGACACGCCTCCCCAGCACCTGCTCCTGTCACGCCCTCGTTCCCAAGCGCCCCTCCTTCTAGCCCAGCCCGTCCCCGCCAGGCCGCTCTCCGCAGCGCCCGTGGCCAGCCAGGACCCCCTGGTCCTCTCAGGGCCGCATCCGCCCCTCCACCGGGGGGAAGACGCCACGCCGACCTCAGGTGGTCAGCTGCCGCGCCCCAGTTCCTTATCGGCCAGCGGAGTAACCCTAGCTGCTCATGACTATTGCAACGCGCTGCTGTGGTTCCGAGGACTGACCCTGCGAGCCCGGCACCCACATCACCAAGCCGGTGGGCAGCATCACCCGGCTTCACCGGGAGGAGCCGTCCACAGTGTGAGCCACTCGCCCGCGGGCAGGGCTCGCCTCCCACCCCGCCGGCCGCTGCCCGGTCCTGGGGGTGAGAAGGACCCGGGACCAAGCTCACCGCTGCCCCCAACCTACAGGCGGCACCGCCCCTCCCACAGCCGGTTCGTTTCCAAGGCCCCTGAGCGGGCGGCTGAGGCCCAGGTTCCTCGTCTGGAAAATGGCGTCACAAGCAGACAGCCCGTCCCGTTCTGACAGGACAGAGGCTGAAGGCGTCTGGGGCCGTCAGCCCTCCGTTCGCTGCGTGGCACCCGCCCCCCCCCCCCAGCCCACTCTCCCATCACGCTGTGGCACCGGGAGCGCAGGCGTCCTCTCTGAAGCGAGGGCAGCCGCTGGGGTGTGGTCCTGCGTCTCCAATGGAAACGTTTCCCAGTCACAACTTCCACCTAAAATCGTGGAGCAGCCCCTCTGCCACGCGCGTCACAGCAGAGCCGACCGTGGCTCCAGGTCTCCCCGCCTACAGCGCGTCCAGGGCAGAGCCTGGAGGGTCCGGGGGGCGTGCCCTTCGCTCCAGGGAGACGCAGAGACGAGGCTGCCCAGGACGGGACAGGCTCCGGCCTCAGCGATCCGGGCCGGAGGGCGGCTGTCCATCCCCGGGGAGCAGTCCGTTTCCCACGTTAGAACTCGCGACCAGGACGCTGGCCACCGGCCCAGGCGAAGCCAGGCCAGCAGGAGCCTCCGCGCCTCCATCCCGGTCGGACGGGCGGTTCCAGCGGCACCTGTCAAGGCCGAGGTGCTCACCGCTGAAGCGCTTCACTCGCCGAGGCCTCGGGAGGAGCCCGGGAGCACCCGCTGCCCCGAGGCTGTTCTCAGAGACGGCGACGGTCCAGGCCCCGGTCCTGGGCTGACCACCCGTCCGTCCGTCCGTGAAACCAGCTCCGTCTCCACACTCGTCAACAACAACATTAAAGATGTGGACTTTGGAGTCAAACAGGCTGCTTTCAGCCTCGGGCTCTGCCGCTTCCTCGTCGAGGGCACATTCCAGCGGCGATCGCACCCTGCACCTGGGGCTCCCCGCGGGGGTGGCCGCCCTGGCACCCGGCTGGGTCACGGCACGCGTCCAGCGGGCAGTCGCCGGCCCCTCTCCGTCCTGGCTTCTCTACCTGCTCCACCCGGAGCGCCTGGAGGGGGCCTGTCGCCCAGGGAGGCCCGGGACCGGCGGGCGGTGGTGAACCGTCAGGGGACTCAGCGCTTCGTTCTCGGTCACAGAGAACAAGGCGAGGCGAGCACCAGGCCGACGTCGGGCGCAGCCTGTCGGTGCGGCTCCGGGGTCCCCTCTCCCGGGAGCGAGCAGCGCGGCCCCCGCTCCGTCTGCTCCCCTCCCGCCCCTCGGTTCCCGTTTCAGCCTCGTCGGGTTCCTGCAAGGCCGAGGGCGCCTCCCCGCCTCGAGGGTGCCAACCCGGTCTCATCCTTGTCCCCGAAGTGGTTGCCTGCATGGTATTGGGCGAAGTCGACACTCCTCGAAGCCCTTTCC